GAACACAGCACTGGAAGAACTCCGAATTTCCTCTCCATGTGCTGAGGACGCCTGGTTCCAGTCGTGAGAACAAAAAAAGCATGGTCATAAAAAGGTAGGCAGCTATTAAATTAGGTAGCAATTAGGACTGGTATAGGAACTGAGAAAGCCAGAAATACATCAAATATTAGCAGATTTACACATCACCCCTTCTTACCTCCCTAAATATCTGCTACCACATGCTGCGGGCGCTCTGTCCCTGCCAGCTGCATTCTGCTCTGGAAATCATACTATCTGTTCTTGCTGTGACACTCACTGATAGATCCCATTATAAGGGCATATATGCCACTTACTTAATCAAACAGCTTCATCATACTATATAACATACTGTATTCACTTTGGGGAACATTATGTGAATACTGATTGGCAAAATTTGGCCCATATTCTTATTGTTACTAATTGCAATTTACTTCAGAAATAGACCCACTGATTTTGCTTTCCCAGCACAGCAATTTTTCTGGTTCTCTCTTCAGTACTTTCACACACTTATGCCCAACTTAGCTGCTGACCTTCAATATTCAAGGTAATTGTTAGTTAATAAACTCTTTTAAATGATCTAGCAACTAGGAATGAGTGTCAGCCAACAATTTTTTTTCTCTGAAACACAAAGTCTTTGTATCATGTATTTACCAAAATTACTCTTGCAATCTATTCATCTTTTTAACTTTGATTTTAATTTTTTCTAGTCATCCATTTAAGCATCTCACAGAGACAACTTAGGACTGGCACCTGAGATGACTCCTGCTGTGTCACTTTTCTTTGCCATCTCAGAATGTCTCACTATACACATTATTGCTCGCTATTAATTTTTAAGATAGCTTTATATTCCTTACTAACAACTTATTTGTCAAAAGATAAAAAAAGATGCTGCTGCAATCACAGGTTCTGTGGAAATATAACATCGGAACATTTGAAAATGAGGACAGAAGCTTGTTTCTGAGGGATTATATTTCTTTCTCAAATTCTACACAGAAACAAGTTTCTCATCCTTTCCCCATTGTCTATATTGTTTGGATAACACATATTTCTAATTTATAAAAAATAAACAAGCCCACCAACCAGGGCACTACCATGCATTATTCCAGAAGATGACGGAAGATATTGGCTTGAGTAATTTTCATGCTTTCAAACTTTCTTTTCACCTCTAAAAGGCAGAATAATGTAGGTCACTTTTAATGAGGAGCCCTGTGTGAGGCTTTCCCCACACACTACACAGCAACCAGGCATTTACGAGTTCATGTTCTCCCTGCATCATCACCATATTTTGTCATTTTTCTACAGGGTTGACTTTTGCCCATAATGCTGGGCACTTTCATATGGTGAAGTCTCTTGGCTGCCTCATTAGCTCTGAATCAGTGTGTGCCCTTGCATTTTACTGTATCATTTCCTCCAGCATTCATTATGCTGCAGTTTAAACAGCCTCTGGCTAGAAACTTCTTAAAACATCATGATGAAATTACTTTCTTGACAACATACAAGACAATTATAATGTAATTAAAATATATACTAATCTATTCCCTTGTCTGGTAATGGTATCTTGGTTAAGATCATCCAGTGCATACTTGTATGGTATCCATGAAATCTTCTGCTATAAATTGTAAGCTACTGTCCACAGCACCTGTTTTTCTGTGCAAGACGCAGGAATTATGATACCTGTTCTCTTCTAGCTTTGCAAACATGAGGAATTAAAGCGTGCATGAGGTGCAAGCTGATTTGAATCTAGGGTCTCCACTTTTCAGTGCTTGACTCCCCAGGCATTTCAGGAGGGTTTTCTGTCGCTGGGCTGGGAGGATCTGGAAGAAACCTGGCACCTGGAAGGCGTACGCTCTTGCCTGGCTGCCCTCCACCATACTGGACTCCTGGTTTTCAGCAGGAGCCTCCCTCTGAAAGGGAAGAGCTAGGCTCCCTTGACCTCACTCTGCTCCCTACCTTTACCCTATTCCCTTTCCATCCCATTTTCCTCTTCGCTGCAATGTCCATCTTCACCACCTCCGTGTGTACCAGCCGGGCCCTTCTGTCCTTGTCCACCACTTGGCAAACAGGTAAGGACCCGAAGGCAGCGTCCTACTGTGCCAGGCAGCAGAGCCAGGCAACTCCCCTGCCCCCCTGCCAGCCGCGCTCACAAAATGAGTTCCCAATATTTATGCATTTAAACACACGGGCTCAGCGGTTTCCTTCACCCCCTCCTTCAGCCCACTCCTAAATCCTCCCGCTCCCCTCTGCCCTGCGGCACCGCTCCCCACCCTCCTGCGCCCCGGGGGTTTGGGGACGAGGGACAGGACCAGGGAAGGAGAAGGGGACAGGCTACGCCTGCTGGGAGAAGAGGGCATGGGGCTGAAGGACAGGGGACTACAGAGGGTCTGGACCTTCGGGGACAGCAGTAGCAGCCTGAGGAAGCCACTCCTGCGAGAATCACAGCCCATTGGATTGGTGGTGCATCAGGAGGAAAATAAATACTCATCAGGTTGACATTACGCAGCCCGCCCCATGTTCATTAGCAGCGCTAATGGGTTTCAGCAGCCCTATGCTACTCTGCATACTTGCAATTCAACACGCTGCCCAGAGCCATACATTGAATGCTAAAAGTAAAATAAAGCTTATCCAACCGAGTAACGAAGAACGGTTAAGTGAAGTGCCCTGTATTCCTGATCACTTTAAAATATTTTTATTGTTACTATGCAATGTCAACATAAGGTTAAAAAAACCCCAGAATTAATCCAACAGCTGCACAGAGGTTGGATTTAAGTGAGATTTCTCTGCAAGCCAATGTGCATTGTATATGTTTGTCTAAAATAAACTGTTAGAAGAGCCCCTTTGCAGCTCAGACAAGGATGGAGAGTTATGAGATACACGTCCTTCATCACCACTTTCCTTCTAGGGCCAAGTCCCTTAATTTACTTGATCTTCAGCTTTTTTGTCTTTAAAACAGAGATAACTTCTGCCTGCAGTGATGCCGTGATGCTAATCCATCTGGTATTTGCCAACACACGGAAGACCTTATTCTAATAAGTGAGATGTACAGAATGCAGGACAACATGAACCAGTGCTGTCTATATTCTTCCTCACAGTCCTACCCAGGTTCATTTTTGGCTATATTCTTCCTCACAGTCCTACCCAGTTTCATTTTTGGCTAGAAAAGTAGGTCAAAACACTAAGCAATAGCTGTTTGAGGGAGAAAAGCAACTTTTAATTTATTTGGGTATAAACACCCTCCTTTTTCCAAATCAGAAATCTGAAAGCAGACAGGCAGGGTAACTGGGGACTCTCCAGAGGTGAGCATGAAGGCAGCACCTCCTCTCAACCTGTTCCTTAATCAGCAAAGGTTCAATACAAGAGGAATAATTCATGTGGCCAGCAATTGATTCTTGCTCGGGAAGCCCCAGGGGAGAATTTTAATCATGGAAAGCTCACCTTCTTCTGGGACATGCTAAACCAGGAGGGTCGTTCCTTCTGAATGTCTTTTGGGCAGATTACTATGCAAAGCTTGGATGCCCATCTTGTTCTCAGCACACACTTTGCAGTTCTGGGCAGGACCTCTGGCTGTGGGCATACACTGCCCCTGCAGCTTCCCCCTGCCACATACAGTAATTACTTTCTTTTCATTAATTGGTCTTAATGCATGCATGCACATCCACAAATGAAGCAACCCACTGCTGAGAGCACAGCAGTTTTGGCTTGGAAGTCACACTTGCCTGGGTTTGTAAAGCTGACAGCCCACTACCACCAGCACCAGCTTTGCCTAAGCAGAAGCAGGAGTATCCGTGGGGTGTAAGCAAATTTTGGGGGGCTCAGCTTTCCCCAGCAAGTTGCAGGGGTTGTGCACACCGACTGTAAACCAAGGCAGCTGGGGCAGTTAGCTGGCATTTCTGGAAATGAACACACCAGCACAAACAGCATAATGATGGTGGTATATTAATGCGGTACCAATGTCAATGACACACTACCATCAATTTCAGCAGGCAGTATGGCTGATTTATAAGCCAGCATACAACCAAATATAGAACAGGAGATGTTTGGAGAAACACGTATGTGAAATAGGCATGACAAATAGAAAAGCTTTATTAAGGGATGATTTCTGCGATCTCTCTCAGGACAGTGATATTTTAACATCCTCATCCAAACAGGAACACAGATAAACAGGCTGTAAACTTGTCTCGTTACTCCGTGGTTTGTGCTTTGGCAGAAACGACTGATGATTTTTGCACATGAGTGAAATGTTTTAACTTATACCTCTGACTGGGGTCTGCTAGGGGAAAGTGGTCACCTTACAAGTTACTTTGGAGGGACTAATCAGAGGGATCAATCTAGTATGTAATAAAACCCATTGTCTGAGCAACCCATTCAATCTGACCGATTGGGATTCTTACAGGAAATACTTCAGCACACTATCTGGTAATGCAAAAAAATGCAAAACAAAGTATGAAAAAAAGAGGGGGTGGGGGGGAAGTCTTCATGCCTAATTTGTCACCTAAGGCTGATGAACTCCAGTGTGAAAGCTGAAGAAAATCAAGTGCTAACCTGTAAATAGTTCAACCAGGCAAAAGTGAATATGCAGTTGGCATTTACATTAAAAGCTCTAGTCTGCACGTATCTGCCTCCTCATTCCCTTTAAAAAGAACATTTTCTTACCAAAAAGGCCTCAGCCTTATCTACCTAATACAGGTGGTGGTTTCAGATACCGCGCTACAGACTCAATTTGGACACTTAAAGCTCTTGGCTCATTAAGATCATGAAGTCAAACTAGTCAGAGATAAAATCAATTAAGTTTGGCAAAATCACTTTTAAGGTGCCCTGTATCTTTCCAATTATCACTACAAGTGTCCATTATGGATTATACAAAACAAGTGAGTATTTATGACCTTAAGTGCTTAATGTGGCCCATCTATGTCTATCTTCAGCCCAGGCTGACAGTCACGATCCTCTCGCACAGTAAACACGCCAGGGTACCATCAGCCTCCTACCTTGGCTCCATCCACACTGATAATCCGATAGCTGTTTCTCGTGCTGTCATAGAAGTAGGAAACAGTTACAGCCTGCTTGCTTGCGGGAACCCAGTTCTTCTTCGTGCTGGGGTCAATTTGGAAGACATGGGCTCTGGTGGTGAAGATGGGCTGTTCTCTGGAATAGGGAGGGACAGGAGAAATGGATGCATGAGTCTGCGGAAGATGAAATGTCCCAGAAGCCCAGCCTTGACCAGGCATGTTGAAAGCACACGACAGAGAGTGCCTGGCAAACCCCCAAGTGAAAAGGCAGAGCAGTGACACTGCCGAGCCACAATCCAGCCTTGGGTACCTCTCCTTGGCATCGCTAAGTGACATTCAGCACCCTAAAGTTACTGCCGTAGCCCAGGAAGCATCAGCTTATTTCTCCCCATATACTAACTCGGTACCCATCTTTCCTCAAAATATTTATTTCCAGGAAAGGACACTCACATGCATTCTTCCTTTCCCCATCCACATATTTTGCCAAAAGCAACAACAAGCCCCCCACGGCTGGATTTCCTCCTGCTGTGCATTCCTGTGAACCGCTACCTACAACCAGGGTTCCTCTGCGGATGCACCAAGGACTCCAGCGACCTACAGGCACAGCATAATTACTGAAATATTAATCTCTGTCCTTAGAATCCCACTGTTCTGTGGATGTGGATGAAAATTTCATCAGATGCAAACCCAGCCAATCATCCTGGGGAGTGAGGGGGAAAAGAAACACAACGAAAACCCTGTGTTGATATATACTGCCTTTCAGTTCAGCTCTCAGTGGATGATGTACTGCCCCTGACACCCCGTTCCTAAACACCAGCCCCCCTCAGATGTTTTTTCTCATCAAGAAAATTGTGCACACAGTGGAGAGGTTTTGTTTAATATTCAACACGTGACAGTGCAAATCACATGTAAAAGCAGAGAAGATGCAGGACCAAAAGAACAAAACATGATACACACAAAGTCATCTAGGTTGAAGATCATAATTAAGACTTTCTTAAAAGCTATAAAACTAAATTAACTTCCAACTATACCTTTAATCCAAATTTAGAAATAGAAGTGAACTGTAAATCAAGCTCTACTGTGCTTTTATATACGTTTTTATGCTTTTAGTTCTTAAATGCTACAGTATGTAACAGTCTATATTTAAGTGTACGTCTCAATATATTCTTATCACATACAAAATATTATATCATGAATAGTTACACTTGGCAGAATTATGACAGGATTCAAAAGCAATTGTACTACAACAGAGTTACCGCCCAAGAATGTTTACCACATGGAAACTGAAAAGGCTGCCAGGCTGAATTTTGCACAAAGCAAGTGAAAAGAGGTAGGTGAAAGGCCAGAGAGATCTCTTGCTGTCATATGCTATTCTTTCCTATTCGTATAAATAATTCTATTATTCTCAGTCCCATAGTTTTGGAACTATGTTTTTATTAAGATTTCTATAATCTTCAGCTCCTTGTATATCCACCAGTGCATTTTTAGAACAGAACAACTTCAGGTACTGTATATAGGAACTGTATCAAACATCACACATGATCTTGACTGTTGCAGTTAAATTAAAATTGAGGGAATAAATTTACAAACATCAAACAGATGAAGCAATTTAAGTGTAGAATTAGCTCAGGAAAGATGGAGTGAGCTTGCAAAGCCCAACAAGGCCTCAGGAGGGAGAAAATGAAACAATAGTTTTCTCCTTGCAAGACATATGCAAAGTTTTACAGTTTTCCAGGGGCTGCCATGCAGGTTGCTGGATGGACAGCTGTGCTGAACCCTGTAAAATACTTGTATGAGATAAATTGAAATTACAATGGGACTGTCGTGTTACAGCTGTGAAAGAGTAACATTTGCTTCAGCTCTTCCTTACCAGTAGGTCACGGAACCTGACTCCCATATCACACCCTAAAATCGATACCATCCTCAGCTGGGAGGAAAGAAGGGGCAGGTCCCTGTAACATTTTTTAAATATTTCCATCATCCATTATGCAGGATTACCAGCATAACGCCCACAAAGGTCATGGAGTTTGTTTGCCATAAGAAATGCAGGGAAGGGAAGTTTCCCCCAAGCTGCTTACTCTTTTACTCTAAAAAGATATACTTTCCCTGAGTGAAGAATAATTTTGATTAGTGGATTCTACTAATAACTGTTCTTGCTAATGGTAATATGACCTATATATTGCAGTCTAAACTTTCAGAAGTTTCCTTCATGCAAACCCATTCCACAAACAACTTTAACTCTGTTAACTCATCTTAACAATACCAGAAAACACTGTTAAAACTATACCTGGCCTCTCTGCAGCAGGAGCAGTAAGCATATAAAGTAAATCTGGAGATAATAAAAGTAGAATGACAGGAAAAAAACTATCTATCTCCATTTTTGCAGGAGTCTTGTAGCAGCTACTGTTGTCAACAGGAGCTGTATACATGCACCCAAGTGGATAAATTAATGGATAATGAAGCTCAGGGCTTGAGACAGCCATCTATCCATTCATGGGGGGCTTTTATTAAAAAGTAAAGACTATGTTTCTAATCCTTATGATTAGTAAAGCCCCCAAAAGTGCATTTTGTCTTCCTGGATGCAAAGAGCAGCCCTATCGCTCACAGTGATAGTGTCCTAGTTGACAAATTATTTAAAAAAAAGGAAATGCAACGTGTAAATTTAAGCATTTTAACTCACCCAAGGTAAGTGAGCTGTTGGAACTTCCACTGAGACTCCAATTTGGAAAGGCCGGTTGGTTGCTCTCCACGTATGCCTTTGACCTTTCTGCTGTAGGTGCCTCTACACGGCAGCAAAGCCTCAGGACTGATTTTTGACCCCCTGGAGCCGATGAAGCCCTCCAGGACACAACCTCTAGCAGGGCCCATGAGCCGGCACCGCTGGCACTGGGAGCTGGTGCCACCACGATTTCCCTCACACCACGGCAGGTCAGCAAAGCCAACGGCGTTGACAAACTCCAGTGGTGCAGCTTTATAATGGGGGGAGAAATACCCTCCTTCATTGCATCCCAAACTCCTTTGACCAGTGAAGCACACGCAGGCAACTATAAAACTGTGGCACTCACTTTTCAAATGAAAAGCTCAATTAGACACTTTTAAAACACTTACCACAGCCTTACAGAGCTCCAAATTGAGAAGGATTATTCTGCATTACTCACTTGCAACTTTTGACTTTCAAGAAAGCACTTTACCAATAGAGGAATGACTTCGTTTTCCAGGGTTTCTTTCCTTTTCATTTTATCAGAGATTTATCGAGTTTTATGCTTACAACAACTGCAATGCTAACTTGAAATTCCCGCAGTGCATCCTGCATCGTTTGAGCCACTGTAAGCTGGTGGTTACATGAAACTGCCAGTTTGCCCAGGGAGGCAGGGAGCAGTGGTGCTGCCAGCCAGGCTGCAGACTCATAAAACAGAAGACAAAGAGAATTTATGAATGTTTAAAATCTCATGAATTTTAACCAAAGTTATTAATGATTGATTAAATACTCTTAAAAAAAAAAATCTGTTTAAAAATCAATTTGACAGTAACATCCACTGTTTAGAGTAAAGCTGCTCAAAAAGTAGCAAATGGAGACCTAAATTATACCTCAGTTCTTTGTTTAATAATGCAGATTAAGACAGATAATGCACTTTGATAAGTTTTTTTTATTATTAAATATGGCCAGCATGTATTATAAATATGATTGCAATTTTCAAGTCATGGTTTTGTGCATTTTAGTTGACTTTTAATTTCCATCCTTGTGTCATATGAGACAAATCTCAAGTAAAAAACAATCATTCTCCATTAATGTAGAAATATGTCATAAACTTTTTCTGAAGAATTTAAAAAGCAAAACCCAAGACTCTGGAGCTGACTAACTGGACCCACAGCTGTGTGAGATACAGTATCACTTTCTGGTTAATACACAACAATGCTAAATTTTACAAGTGTGTAACTAGCTGCAAGCCCCTGACCCTGGACCCCAACCACGTGCAGGGCCACGTGGAGCCAGCTCCGGCTCCCAACAAGGCACTGATGAGATGAACACTTCTGTATTGGAGCAATCTTTTTGGTAGTAAATACACCACCACAGTGACTCATGTGGGTGCCTGCGGGATCAGCACCCAAGTTTTTGTAAATGTGCAACGTGTCCGGTGCACATCAGGTGGATGCGCTGACCAAGCAGTAAATAGAACAAAGCAGCTCCTTTACTTGTTGTAGGATCTGGAACAACAAACCTATTTGTGACAGGAGCTCTCATCCTCCACCAGAGGCAAAACCACTATTTGCATGTTTTGCTAAAACTTCCATTAACAGATCACATAAAATTTCTGGGATAAGGATTCCGAGTTTACAGGACAGGATTATTTGTTCTCTCCCCACACTAATACTAGACAGCTTTGCATTAAATGCCTAATTTACCAACTGGAAAAAAATACATTTTTTAAGAGAGCATGTCCTCATATAGCTGCCATTTGGTGGAGGAATCACATGCCTGCAGACAGCATGTCAGCGTAGAGTTTTTGGAATGTGGTGCTTCCTGCTATAGGCCAGGGTCATGCACACGCTGAGGTTTATACTGCCTGACAGCGCCAGCAGATCTACAGTGATTTGCTATAACAAGTATTAGATAATGAGGATCTTTCAAGAAGGAAGAAGAGTAGGCATGAATACAAAACCCTACATTGTGACATACCCCCCCATCACTGGTCATGATACAAAAAATCTTATTTGCTAAATGCAACATGATAAACTTGGTATCAATAGTTGTTTGGATTGAGTGTCGCTACTGCTGTCTGACAGTGCAACAAAAAGAACTAATCTTTTATGTATATCTTCATATGTAATGTAGTTCGGAGTGCCGTTTGTATTTATTTATGATAATTCAAAAATAAGCAACGTTGCTAAAAAGAGGAGTGCTGCTCCCACCCATGCCCCCCCTCCCCAGGTGTGGCCAGCTGTGCACACACGGCTCTCCCAGCGGGCCGCCTGACAGCTGCCTTCACCTCCTCTGCAAAAGCAGGAGAGCAACGATGCCAGCTCCCAAAGCCACAGAGCACTACCTGTGTGTGCCTCGGACTTCTCAAAAATGCAAGCACAGCTCCAAAGGCTAAGAGCACGTTAGCGAGGCAAACTCACACCTTTGGTCCCAAACAAAACTGAAAAAATATATCCTGCCCCTTGAAAGCAGCAAGCTCTCCAGTCACTCCTCCAGGACCCCAGAAGTCACCAAATGTCCCCCTTCAGCTGGCAGCAGTGCCGGCACCGGGGGTCCCATGCCTCGGGGTCTGCAGCTGCCCTGCCAGGCTGCTGCTGCCTTGCCTTTCTAGATTCTACTGTTGCATGATGGCCCCCAAGTTCATGAATGGAGATTTTTCTCCTATTTGAAATACTCATCTCAATGAAAGTCCTGGCAAGTAATGATGCCTAAAAATTACCTGTGAAAATACTGTTTCATTTACCCATAACTCTACTCACTTGTTCACACATGCACATCTCAAATTTTAAAAAACAACCAAGCCCTCTCCCCGAAACACCAAAATGCAAGTAAAGGCAGACCTCTGATGAAGGACGTAACTACTGTGGGGAGAAGTTACAGTTCCTCCTGTCATCCACATGGTAGTTAGCATACCGGTTGCAGTTCATACACCAAACTAATCTTTGCTCAAAGCAAAAGAGAGAGTCTGCTATCCTCCAGCCTGTTACCTCTACATATTGAAGGCTTGTACCATCTTGGATCAAATCTTTGGGGAAAGTAGAAAACCACATGAATTAGCTTCTCAGTGATGACCAAGGATGAAGTTGGAGGACACCTCCTCACCTCACCGCATGCACTCCAGTCAAGACAAGTGCACCCCCCTTACATTTGCCACAAACAAAGCAAATTTGGCTGCCTCAGCCCAATTCCCTGAGATACTGTAACCTCAATGTCCATCGCTGCCCAGTTCATGGCTGGGGTCAGGGAGCAGGATGGCAGGCTGCGCCTAGTCAGCATGGGCAATACACAGAGCCGGGGAGAGGCGAATGCTAAACCTGCGCATTTTACAGATGTGGTAGCAGCAAACTGGCATTATGAAAGCAGGCAGCTTGCTCCCTTCCCAAACTGGCATATGCTAATTAATCCAGATCACTCAGTTCTCATCAGCTGCAACAGGCAGGTTCTGGTGTCGGCTGCCAGTGTACACAACCAGCAAAAGTGAAGAACCTGTTTCAACTTGCAAGGGTGCAAAACTCATAAGCGTGAAGCAAGCAGGTGGGTAATGGCTCCATTTTACACCTGAGGAAACAGCCATCGAGAGTGAGATGGCATCGCAGGATAACAGAGCCAGTAGCAAGCCCGGAAATAAAATTAAATCGCCTCATTTCTTCTCTGTAGCTTTGCTATCACTATCATTGCAGGGCAGTTTTATACCAGATCCTCTACCCAGGGAAGTTTTTGACTGCGTGAATTTAAAAGGCTAAATCAACAGCTGAATACTCACCACGCAACAAAAGAGACTATTGTAAAAATTAACAGTCTTTACACACCACAGAGAAGCTATCGGTGGTTTTAACAACTGCTCCTACACGATGTGGAAGAAGGTGGGACAGGATGCCAGCCCTGCAAACCACCCGCCTGCAGCCAAGCACTGGTGGCTAGATGCCCAGAGCTGCTTGGCTCCACAGGTGTGGGCTGCTCCCCTTTGTCCTGCAGTGCAAACAGTCCTCCTCACGCAGGTACTTCCACAGCAAAAATTACTTGGAAGGATCAAGAAGCAACCCTGAGCAATACAGGGCAGGAAGGGTGAGCACAGAGAGAAGAGGGAAGCCTTACTATCTGTTGTACACGAGGGTTAGGAGAACTGGCCCAGAGTGACAGGCTGGGCTAGCAGGGGACAACTGCAGTCGGTTTTTGCTCTTCTTTTTTCTCTCTGTAAAAAAAATAAATAGGCAGGCACCCATTACACTGCATTTGTCGGTACTCTGCTAGCCAAGCCCTGCACTCCCGGGTGGTGTTCCCTGCTGCAGGCTGGAACTGTGGACGCATAGAAGGGTACAGGGAACAACTTCTGAAAAACCCAGACCAGCAGGACAGAAATTACACCCTCCCTAAAAAAAAGAGAAAACAAGAAACAGCTATTTTTTAAATATAATTTACTCAAAGCCCTTCTTTTCAGTCTTTCAGCTGCTGAAATTCCCATTTTGTAGGCAGACCGACCTCACAATAAGGTTGAAAAGAAGTGCTGAATTTGGCAGCAGTGCTAATCGAGGGCAAGGTCGTGCAACTCGTTCATATAACCACAGTCATGATTCTCTGGTGGCCACTTTATACTAGATTTGATATCAACTCAACCTGCAGAAATATCTGAAATTCATGCAAAAAATCCACTTTTTGGCTCTCTTCTTTTACAGGCATTATTATTTCAACAGACAGAATATAATTAGCAAAAGTGCTTCTCGCATGTGTAGGAAATATAATGGTTCCAGTTACTTAGAAAAAAATAAAGAAAAAAACCTAGCTAGCTAAAGAGGAATTTTCTGTTAAAAGCACAGACATTAATTAAATTCATTTTTGATTTGCAGCTGAATAAGTCCAAAAGAATAAATCTTGAGGACAAAAGCTCTCAGTATGGAAATTATTGTAATATCTGTGAGGTCTCACAATACCATTATACCTTTATGAAGTCAATATACAAATTAAAAGGCTTATAACTTGGGCAGTGAAAAACCTCACACTTTATTTTTGGGCTATCTCCAGATGGCTATTAAGCTTTCAAGACACTGTGAATAAACACTCATACACAAGTGACAGGAACTGAGAGGACCCTGAACTAATCCTCCACAGGTAAGGTTATTTATTAGAAAAAAACAAGTCGAGGCACATGTGTGTAAAACTGGTTGTGTTACTCTGATTATTTCAGAGATCTTTCCTGAGAAGACAGCGAAAGAGGATCCATAAATTTGCGCCCTTGGTAATGTTTACATGGCCTCTCATTTGCATAGGCATAAATTCAAGCCCTATTAAACCAAAAAAACCACTTGTACTCTGTTTACCCCCGGCACCTCTCCTACCCTCGTCGACAAATGAGGCCGCATCAGTACATAAACAGACCCCCAAAGCCTTCCTATTTCTTTGAATCGGTTAAAAATTACATCCTCTGGGTTCGCCCCAGCTCCAGTAGAGTTAATGCTTTTAGCACAGCCTCCTCTGTGGCACAATATTTGCATTGTAATATTTCAGTGAGAGATTGCCCTTCTAAATTGAAAGTGTACGTCTTGGAGCAGAGAGCACCAGTCTGCCGGAGAGGGAGAGCGGCCTCCCTCCGCGCCTCGCCGGCGGCCCGGCGGACGCAGGCCCGGGAAACACAGGCCTGGGTGCAAGCACCAAAACGTACCCCACGCAGCATTTTACACGTCGGGGGCTGCTCTGGAAAGCTCTCGGCAAGACCTTCTGCCGCAGCACTGGGAGGCCTGGGCAGGAGGGACCCCAGAGGAGCAAGCTGTTGTCACGGTGGGCTGTGCAGGGCTGAGCCGGCCCAGGGAAGGCTCCGCTCACCCCCACGGGGCACGGGTGGGCCTCCGCTGCTGTCAGAGCGGCCCGAGCGAACCCAGTCGAAACCACGGCGCTGCAGCTCTGTGCCACCGTGAATTTTCTCATGCACAGGTGAAACACCACGGGGGTTGGTTGGTTGGTTTTGCAAAGGAGAAATAAGGAGCCAGTATACAGATCTGAACGGCATCGCGCTCCTCGAGCACCATCCAAAACCAAGAGGCCGTGCTCCTCAGGGCCCTCATCTCCCCACAGGCGCTGCCCGTGCTGGGGGACATGAAGTGCCAGCAGCCCCGGTCCCTCCTGGGCCTCCTCGCCCTACCTCAGACACCACACGCATCTAGAGTTAGCATTGGTCAGAAGTGATCAAAGAAGGGAAAATAACGTAGACAATTTTGGAGGAAGAGAGTAATTTATTTTGCATTTGTAAGCCAGCAGGAGAATCCTTTAGCATGCTAGTGGAGTCTTTATCTTACTATTAATCCTCATCTTCTGTGTGGCAGAAGGCTGGTGATACTTTGAGGTTGCGTGTGCTATTCGGTGTTTATTTACAAAATGAAGAGATTAAATATCAGAGGATATATGATCAAAATACATTGTACCTACAAACAGAAGATAGAAGTGAAAGACCACGTGTGTGTTTGTGCATGTAAAACCCACTGATACCACCAGGGCAGCATCTTTATGTTTAGGACTTTTTCTCCTCCCATGCTATAAGAATTTGCATGGCAGATGAGGTTATCTCTGCACAATGAAATCTCAAAAGTTGATTTTAATCAGTAGCATAATCAAAGCCTCACTATTGCAAAATAATATGATTAAACACTCCATTATTTCAAATGCCACAGAACTAAGTGGATCCTTGGAGTGGAGTACTTTTGTGCACTAATCCATGCATGTAATTATCGATATGCTTTCCCATGCCCTATTCAAATGCTCTCCCCTGAGGCTTTTCTTCCACTTACACTAGGGGAAAAAAAGCCAATGAGTTCAATTTAAAGAACAAGTTGTATAACTCTTTTTGATCTACTGCCTAAAGGATCAAATAAGGAATTCTACCAACCATAATGTCAGAAGCAAACGATAGGGCTTTGCTTGTCCCGGTGGCCCCCACCACCAGCAGGCAACACAGGCAGGGCACGGTGCACGCCCTGTGCTGGTACACGCTGTGACCGGAGATGCTGCCAGAGCACCTGGACTAATAAAACACTCAGGTCTGAGTGCTTTAATAGACTGCAAGGAAAGGGTGCCAACAGATGGTTTAATACAAGGATGCATGCCTTTAATGAAACTTAAGCATGTAAAAATTAAAAGCAATTAAAGAATAAGCAATTTACTCTGTAAGAGATTAGAAAGATGCAAACCAATGCCCGCACTGGGGTTTTGGTACATGTATCAACTTGCCCATGCTGAGAACAGCACTGGGCTGGCAACAGCACTGCCATGTTTAAATAGATTTGTTGCTACCAGCCTCCTTCTAGAGCAAACCATGTAGAAGACAAAAAAAAAAAAAAAAAAAAAAAAATCACCAAATGTAGTCAAGAGCACCAAAGACAGTGTGTTAAAAACAGCAAAGAGAGGTTCCCACACAAGCACATCCCCCATGCTCACAGCCAGGAACCCCACAGCTGCAGCTGGGAAAGGGCAAGGTGTTGGGCACAAATGAGCATGGCTAAAGCCAGTGCCATTCCCCACTCAATGCAGTTTAAATTAGACTATCTGGAAAAAAGCAGATTTCCATTTTCTGGCTATTTTAATAGACTAATAGAATCAACAGAGTATTCTGGTTGCTGCTAGCACACACGCAGCACCTCTCTAAGGAACTGGGGGACACGGTTCTTCAAACTAATGTATTTACTAGCAGCCAATAAGATCATGGAATGACACATTTCTTCTGCTTCAAGTTAAAAATACAAAGGAAATTTCAAACATTTAGAAGTTAACATTATTCACTTTAATCTTTAAAAATATAACACCATCTGTTGCCATCAGATTTACAGTACAGATCTCAGATATGTACATTTATTTGTTGGTATAAAAAGCTGTCAGCAACCCCAGTGCAAAAGTGAAGATCCTCTGGTAATCTCCCGAGCTTCAAGAGAGAAAAACTACTAAATCTGAAAAACTTAAGCAACAGGTTATTAATGAGAAACACAGTATCTACAAAACAAAAAAAAACATTACTCCCCTTGCGACAAAAACCCCCATACCAGTAAAAACACAAAACTAAACCCCTACAACTTGCTAATACCGCAAACTGTGTATATTTGCAGGTAATATTGGGAGAAACTTATCCCAGCAATTCCTGAACCTCAACAGTCACCTATTTCTGATCCCCACAGTTCTGCTCCCTTGGCACTTCTGATTTCTGCATGCCAATGCCTCCAGCTTTGTGGGTTATGCGAGGTACAGGTTATACGAGTTGTGGCCTATGGGAAGATTAAATTTCAAGTATCAGCATTTTTCATGCAATGCAGGGTCCATAACTACGGGCTATAATGCAAATATGCAAAAAAAATGACACTCATGTCAGCATCTGACACTCATGTCAGACTCAGAGTCTTAAAAATTAGTGTGGGCTGGCTGTAGAATAAACAAAACAGCACACATTCTTATTATAAACTTATTATGCAAGATGAGTGCAGGTAATATGTAAAACCAAATAAAAAGTTCAAATTATTTTCTGGATATGCATTAGCTATTACAAATCTAACCCAAATTTTAAGGCAGTAACATTCGTGAGCAGTCAGGCTAGGACACCCGCTAGCCGGGGCTAGCTTTGCAGGAGCAGTCAAAAGTCAGACCCCTTACAGTGTCAGAACATTAGTAATTTTGAAATAAAAAGGCCTTGACCTTTTTTCAAAAAAAAATATTCACTCTGCTGAAAAGCCACCTTATCACTTCTGAAGTCAAACAAGAAACCTTAGGAAAATAAAATCTTACCTGTATGATGCTAATGATCACATTTCTCATGTTTCTAACATTTAGCTTTTTGTGCCTTGGAAGTTAATACAACAGGAAAGGATTTAATAATAATTTTTTCCCCTGTGACATACTCTGTCCTGCTGGTATTTCTTGATCGAAAGACTGCAAGTAAATCTGGCTTTGCCTTATGAAATTAAGGTCTACTAGACATAAAAATCCAATTAGTGCTACAAAAATTAAGGCATAACATTTCCTCAGTCTCATTTACACCAATATAGACTTTTTTTTTTTTTCTTTCTGTCAGGGGTGAAGGACACAGCTGAATGATGGGATTTTTTCCATCTCATTTATATATTGATTGTAATAAGGCCAGACAGGTAGGCCTATACAAGTGCTGATTCTGTCAGCAGCCAAAGTTGCCAGGACTGTGAATATTGTCACTTATAGATTGATAAATGGACTACATGGACTAATTGTATTTCAGCATTTCTAGACAGATGGCAAATCTTACAGCCATATGGTGATTATTTCCACTGCGCTGAAAGTATATTAATGCTTACCAAAATGTTTAAAGCGATGAGATGATCTAAAATAATTTTTCTATGAACTGGGATAAAAACGACGGGCTCAGATGGGTCAGCACGCTGGGGCTGGGCTCTCTCCCAGGATTCCCATTCAGTGCAGGCTCAAGGGCCTGCGGGTATCACACAGTTATTGATGAAACCGGCTGTGTAGTGGGTCCTCAGCTGGAGTACAGCACTGTTGTGATAGCCAGGGGATAACATGCCTTGTGTTAGCTATTCTGCGTTGCCCTTATTTAGTTGCCACTATTTGCTGCTTGATATGCTGGCTACCCTATGAGTTGGCAGCACTGATAGAATCATGGAATGGGTTGGGTTGGAAAGGGCCTTAAAGATCATCTAGTTCCAACCCCCCTGCCATGGGCAGGGACACCTTCCACTAGACCAGGTTGCTCAAAGCCCCATCCAACCTGGCCTTGAACACTTCCAGGGATGGGGCATCCCCAACCTCTCTGGGCAACCTGTTCCAGTGCCTCACCACCCCCACAGTGAAGAGCTTCTTCCTTACATCTAATCTAAATCTACCCTCTTTCAGTTTAAAGCCATTACCCCTTGTCCTATGACTGCCTGCCCTTGTAAAAAGTCCCTCTCTGGCTTTGCTGTAGACCCCCTTTAGGTACTGGAAGGCTGCTGTAAAGTCTCCCTGGAGCCTTCTCTTCTCCAGGCTGAACAGCCCCAACTCTCTCAGCCTGTCTTCATAGCAGAGGTGCTCCAGCCCTCTGATCATCTTCGTGGCCCTCCTCTGGACTCGCTCCAACAGGTCCATGTCCTTCTTATGTTGGGGGCCCCAGAGCTGAATGCAGCACTCCACGTGGGGTCTCACGAGAGCAGAGTAGAGGGGCAGAATCACCTCCCTCGACCTGCTGGTTATGCTTTTTTTTGATGCAGCCCAGGATACGGTTGGCTTTCTGGGCTGCAAGTGCACATTGTCAGGTCACGTTGACCTTCTTGTCAACCAACACTCCCAAGTCCCTCTCTGCAGGGCTGCTCTCAATCCACTCATCGCCCAGCCTGTATTTGTGCTTGGGATTGCCCTGACCCATGTGCAGGACCTTGCACTTGGCCTTGTTGAACTTCATGAGGTTCGCCGGGGCCCACCTCTCCAGCCTGTCAAGGTCCCTCTGGATGGCATCCCTTCCCTCCAGCGTGTCGACCGCACCACACAGCTTGCTGTCATCGGCAAACTTGCAGGGTGCGCTCAATCCCGCTGTCCCTGCTGCCAACAAAGATGTTAAACAGCACTGGTCCCTATACCAACCCCTGAGGAACACCACTCGTCACTGGTCTCTACATACATATACTTTCTTTTTCTGGTATTTTTTCTAAATCCTTCTCTGCTCTCTGGTTGCAAACACACTGAAGTTATTGTCCTATTTTTAAAGGTAGCCACATACCCAGACCCGGCCCATGCAAATACAGTGGAGGACTGCCCAAACCATGGACAGTAGGGTCTGGAGTAGGACTATACATGCACTATATGCATTTAGCTGTCCCTATGTCTGCTCTTGAAAGAGGAATCAACTGCGAGAGGACAGAACTATGCTCCAGCAATCCTGTGAAACAAAACAAACTGGCTGGATGGCGATCAGAGGCTCATCCTGCTCACTGCCGACTGGATAAGTTCTGCAGTGCTACTTCAGCACAAAGCTGGTAGCTCATTGTATTTACCAAACGCAAACAAAGC